TCTTGCCCTGGGCGCTGAGCCTGCCCGCCTCCCCCTCCCCTGCTCGGTCCTTTTTCCCTCCTGTCCCCGCTCTCGCGCTTTCCTCTTCTCACCTGGCCGGCGGTCCCGGCCGCCAGAGGACCCGGAGGGAGAGGGAATGGAGAGATCCGGCCTTCTCCTTCCCGCCCTGGGCCCTTGCTCGCGCCTGGTCCCTAGCCCGGCCCCGAGGTCCCCGCGTGGGGCCCCCAGCTTCCTCCCGGCGGACCTGTGTGTGCGCTGAAAGGAAGAGTTTGTTGGTGCAGGTGTGTGCGGGGAGTTTGTGCTGGCCGCCCGCGCCCAGAGCGCCCGGAGCGCCCGGAGCCTGGCTCCTGAAGGCTGGGGGAGCTGCTGGAGGCTGAGTCAGAGTGACTCAGGTGCGCTCGCAGGGCTCGCTGCTGCCGGGGAGGGGGCCTGGGAAGCATCCGAGCTTAGATCCAGGCCTGAGCGAGTGCAGGTGCTGCTGCCGCCCGTGCAGGGGAGGCAGTGACCTGAACGCTCCGGGCAGAGGGGCAGTCTGCCTGCAGAACTCAGGTGTCTGTGGACACTGGACCTTGATGCCTTGCATGTTGTATGTGTTTATGTGGACCTGGGTGCTGTGGGGCGATGTCCAGGGGGGCAGGGAACGGCCCTGTCTCAACTACATGTATGTGAGAGGGTATGTGACAGTAAGCCTGGGTTTTATGGCAGCATGCTAGAATGTGTGTGTGTGTGTGTGTGTGTGTGTGTGTGTGTGTATCTGGGTGTGGGAGGCAGTGTACCTTTGTGTGTATGTGCACACGTGTGTGTGTGTGTGCCTACATGTGTGAGGTTCTGAGGTTTGGTGTGGTTAGCATATCTGGGCATCTCTGGTATGTCTGTGGTAGGTCAAAATGTCTCATGCGTGTATGAGGAGTCTTGGGTGTATATGAGGGTGTGCAGTGGTGTGTCTCGGTCTGAAAAGGCACTGTGTCTGGGTGTCCTAGGGGGACAGGGCGCTGTGCCATATCTGGGGAGTGAGCAGGGAAACAGCTGGAGTCTGCAGGGGTGAGGTCTCAGGTGTGGAGGAGGCAGGTTTCTCGGTGACTGGGTAGAGGCCTCCGTCTCAGGCATGGGGAGCATTCCTCCTGGGGGGGGGGTGTGAGTGGAGGACATCCATCTCTGATGTGTCCCTCCTTCTCTACCTGCGGGTTTCTGATGGTTGAGGGTGGAGCTGGGGACCACACCCCTGATGTCTTGGTGTCTGAGGTGCCTACCCGGGCTCTGGGTCTGGGGGCGAGCGTACCATCCCGAGTTCCTTCTCCAGACATGCTGCCGGAGGCGGGCGCCCCGTGGCTGCTGAGGCTCCTGCGGGACACCCAGCTGGCCCAGTTTTACCGGTCCATACTCGAGGAGCTGAACGTTACCCGGCTGGAGCACTTCGACTTTGTGAGACCTGAGGATCTGGACAGCATTGGCATGGGCCGGCCTGGTGAGGGACCCCTAGCCCCGAGGCCCTCCTCTCTCTCCCCCCAACCTGTTAGTTGCTACAACCCCCATGCCCCTGCCACACCAGCCCTCTTCTTACCTTTAAATTCCTTGCATCATGCCCTGCCCGCCCCATACCACCCAGCCCTTTCATTCCGGTCTCCCCCAGCCCAGCGCAGACTGGCTGAAGCTCTGAAGAGGCACCGTTTGGGGCAGAAGCCTAAGAACTGGGTCTACAAGGTGTGTGTTTTGGGGCGGGGACGGGAGGTTTAAGGGGCTGGGGAATGGGCTGTGCTGAGTGGCAGGGGTCTGCAGGCTTCCACACCCCTGATTTCCCACCCCTGTTTCAGATCCTTGGGGGGTTTGCCCCTGAGCAGAAAGAGACCACCCCACCTTCAGACAACCCTCCATCCCTCCCTGAGCCAGAGGGAGGACTCAAGTGTCTGATCCCAGACGGTGCTGTGTGCAGAGGGGAGCTGCTGGGCTCCGGCTGCTTTGGTGTGGTGCACCGCGGGCTGTGGACACTGCCCAGCGGTCAGAGTGTGAGTCCTCGGGGGCCTGCTTCCTTCTGGGTGCCTGGGCCAGCTGCCCCTCCCTCTGCTGCCCCCTCGGCTCTGGCCCTGGTGTAGCTCTCCCTGCGGTGCCTGATGGTGCTTTTCCCACACCCCCAGGTCCCAGTGGCTGTCAAGTCCCTCCGGGTGGCTGCCGAGGGCTCCGGGGGCACAGAGCTGAGGGACTTCCTTCGAGAGGTGTCGGTCATGATGAACCTGGAGCACCCACATTTGCTGCGTCTGCACGGGCTCGTGCTGGGCCAGCCTCTGCAGATGGTGAGCAGACCTGGCGATGGCTCTCGGGACAGCCCCGGGCTGAAGTGAGACCGGAGGGTGGGTGGGCAGAGCCCCGTGGGGCCGGACCTCCGCTCATGAGGCCCCTGCCCCGCAGGTGATGGAGCTGGCGCCGCTGGGCTCCCT